TCTCATTAGCTTTATATAGCCCAAACAACCATTTAAACTTATAGCAAGCATATAATTACCATACAATTTTAAAATTATAGCAATTATATAACAAACAAAACTTGTTTCATTAAGGTCTTAATGTGTATATTGTTGTTGGACGTATTAGAAACACTCACAGACAGCACCTAATTCGGAACAAACCAATTCATTAAATCCAAATTAAATTTTCAATGATTAAACAATCAATCACATAATTTAATACATCAAACCAATTATATAATAATGCAAGCATGTAGATATAACAATAAAGATCTAAATTCTAGCAAAAGATCCAACATCCCAATGGTCAAAATTCAAATTTTCTCAATCAACTGTTAAAAGTGCATTAGTTACAATTCTCCAAATCAAATTAGGCATGTAGGAAAATTGGAACTAGAAAAGAGAAGAAACTAAAATTAAAATTGCTTATCCACCTTGAAGATCAAAGGCTCATACACATCCACTCTGCTCTTTGGAATCCAAGTGAGCCAGCTTTGCATCTTCAACTAAAAACAAGCTCTAAACACCTTGAAAGATGTTAATATGAGGGCCGAATTGATTCAAGCATTTGAGCCAGACTTGACTATAGATTGAAATGATCGGCTGCAAGTAAAAATGGGTGGGAAGCATGTACTGAATTAGGAAGGAATTAGAGGAGGAAAGTAAGAGGCGAAGAGAAAGAGAGAGGGGAAGTGAAAAAAATGGATAAAGTGGTAGAGGTGAGAATTGTGAATTGGGATCTTTCTTTATTTCAACAAAAAAAGAAGGGATAATTTTGTCAGAGATTTATTTGAATGAACAATTAGTGCTCTAAATTTTCTATGGATACAATACTTTTGGATTATCAAATACCAACATTTGAATTCAAATTAGAAAAAAGATCCGATCACCCGTTATAATTCAAAGTCAAGAGTTGTTTTGCATTCAAGCAAGATCTCTAGTTATAATTCTAAAATACAAATCATTTTTGAACATTGACAATGGTTTGTTGTATCATTCTTCTCATATGAATATTGATATTTCAAAAGTATTGTAGATGAATTTAAGCAGCTGCTTTTGTAATAATCCATGCATGAACAACAAAACTCTCAAACCTTGGATAATTCATGAGTCATGGATCACCAGATTCTATTCAAAGTACGATATCTACAATCTAAATTCTAATTAGAAAAAAATGACAAGTTTGCACACAATTAAGATTCGGGAATTGATGGATGGGGTTTCAAGGCTAAAATTAAAAGAGGACAACAGATCAGAGAATGGTCCAAATGATGGTGACTTTAATGGAAGCCAGAGAGAACTGAGAATGAAACTTTGCGAATACAATTACACGATGCAGGAAGAAGAGTATGAGAAGCCACGTACGGCTTCGCTTCACGCGCAGAGGAAAACAAGAATCTGGCATTATCGGGAACAACCCAAGTTGTGCCTCCAACTAGGGGCTGCTTTCGTTTCTGTATGCTTCATATATTCGCATATGCTAATGTAGGATCTCTGCTAAACCATAAGAGCTCACACATACAGACACACCTCTTTTCTTGTCCCTTGGTCATTCGTAAACGTCGTCTTTTTTGTTTCCATTTCCTCATCTTTCCACTGATGACTACTGCTCCATCTGTTTCTGTGATGTCTTTAATTTATTAATTCTCTGCCTCTAATAACTCCTATCTGTTTCTCTCAACCTTATGCGAAACAAATTCCCTTTACTTGGCTTGTCTCCCACCTCCCCTTTGGTTTATAATACATTAATTCATTATAATAATGGATGTGTACAGTGCACTGCCTCTTGTCTGTTGAGTGTGGAATAGAAAAACGGCGTGCCCACCAAAAAACGCTTGGCCGTTATATTGTTTCCACGCATCACTTACAAACGGACCAAAATATAACGGGACTTTAATTTATAATAGAATGAGGTGCCACGTGAGTAAAAGTCCTCAATACTACGGACGCGCGCGCGCGCGCGCGCGTAGTGAACAACTGGTCTAAGAATCAGTAAAAGCCGATCAAGACTGGTTTTTATGTTTTTTTAAACATCTCACTATAACTCGAAATTATGTTATTTTTGTGTTTTTATTTGTGTTGTGGTTGATTTTTATTTAGTGTTATATGCATGCACATATGATGACTCGATGGTGATTTTAGTTAATAATAAGAGTTTGTGATGACTTCATTAAAAAAGAAGTAGTTTGTGATGATTTAATTAGACCGTTAATGTAAACATGTTTGATAATGATCTTGATTATTTGTAATGGGCAATTAATAGTTTAATTATAATTAATGTTGATACAATTAACTATTACTCCTCATATTCTATTTACAGAGGGTAGAAAGAGAAGGTTAATTTTGGTAAATAAAACATTTTAATATTTTATATATTCATTTTTACCTTGTTGTATTGTCTTTATTAAATATTAAGAAAAATTATTAAAAATAAAATTAATAAAATTTAAAATTTTTCTTAAATCTGATAAAATATGATCAAAATAATTTATAAATAGAATTAGAGAGAGTCAATTTAACATGTATGATAAAGTCATATCATTTAAAGTATTTTTATTTTTCATAAATATTCTTTAAATTTTACTATTTTAATCAAGATCAATCAAATTACAACATAACAATGGTTTAGAGAACCAATACTGCTCAATGCCTTGTTGGATTGATAACCTTCAAAAAGCATATAATAGCAGAATTTATACATTTCCCATGCATTACACACATTCATGATAGTAATATATATATACCATGTATTAGTCATTTCCTCCACATTTTTTAAAAACATTTTTTTTATCTTTAATACAAGGCACACGATGGAGTAGTACTTAGTTTTTTTTAATATTACCTTTATTTAATTAAACTCACTAATTATGATAGAGAATGTAATGTAAATTAAAATTTTTTTATTTAAATAAAGATAGAATTAATTTTTTTATATTTTTAGATAAAGTTAATAACTAAACTATATATCTTTAATTTTGATATTGGAACTTCAAAGTATCTTATAATATAACCAAAGGAAGCATTAAAAGCTTGTAACGCATCCATTATTGACGGGCATGACCTAGTGAGAAAGAATCATCTTGCTTAATTCATGTCTTTATTTATTTTTTCCCTCGGAATTAATTAATTAGGATAACTCCTATGAACTCGCTTATTGGATGTACAAACGTATGGGGGGTGGTAGATTAATCCGACGATATGCACAGAAAAGTATTATTTCTGCATGGAAAATACGATTTTTCTATTAATATTATCGGTTTTTTTCACCAGCTATTAATATTATCGGCTGCGCATTTACGTTATGACCATGTTTATTTTTCTTTTAGAATGACAAGGCTTTCCTTTGGCCTTATGAGGCTCGAGGGAAGAGAAAAATAGTAACAAATATTATATTATAATACATTTATAAGGCAATAAACATTAATTTTGATTAATGCATCGTATTTTTTTTTTTTTGGGTCGTGTTCTTTAATAACAGTGGTAATTTGGTTGTCTTCCGACGTCCTTGTTCACTGTAGTATAGTTGACCCCTGCATTTCGGCTTACAATAATTATGGTCTATACATCTATCTTGTATATACATTTACGGGAATGTATCTATCTATCTATTTATAAGATATAAGCAGTATTACGAGTTAATTTGTTGCATTTTTTTATATAAAGAATAAGATCATAATTTAATTATATGCACTGTATATTATGTAATCTAATTATAATATCCTTGTATCATTACACTATGATATAAATTTATTAAAAATTATACTATTTATAATTATGAATAGTATACTAATTTAATTAATTGTATTCTATTTTTAGATAGCGCCGACCAATTCTTGAGAAGTTACATTGCGCACAAAATAATTTAGGTTGAATCAAGTCAAATCACAGAGATGTAAAGTTTATTTAACGATAATTTTAAAGATATACAAAACATAAATTGAGATCTTACTTGACGAAAGTAACATTGAACCAACTGAATTTGCTTCTAGCACTGTCGCATCATAGCAAAGTACATTTTTAGTATTATAATTTTATTTTATAAAATATTTTTAAATTTTTTCATCAATTATTTTTGCTTTCAAAAATTAAAATTCATTATCACACACAACAAAAATGTGAATTAGTCTAGACCAATAATAATAATAAGACAAATTTTTCAAAAATATTGGACAATGAAATAAAAAAATTAAAATTAAAATGTCAACCCTTAAAAATGTTTTGTTAGCATTTAAAATTTTAATGTTAATATTTTTTTATTATTGAAGTTAACAATGTTAAAATTTAAAAACTGAATAATATTTTATAAAATTTTAAAAAATAGAATAAAACTTTAAATTAAAGGAATAAATATTTATTTTTACCCTCAATTTTATTTAACAAGACACAGAGGAGTTGCAGCCCATTTTATAACTGAAATTGTAACAAAATTAGTTGAGGGATATGTGTACAAGAAAAAAAAAAATTAGTTGAGGGATAGAAAACAAAATTTGTTGGGATCATGTGAAATATGCGTGTGGATATGCATGAGGGTTTGATAAGTGAAAAGGTTGGCCAAGCTTTACTGAAAAAGTACAAAGGACCAGAGTCAAGAAAAAGGTCCCTTTCTCCCCCAAAACCTCAAGTCCCCTTATCCCTACCAATAAACTATACAATTATCCTACCTCCACACTCTCTCCCAAGTCCCAACCCAAACGGCCTCATTTTTAATCACGCCCTTTTGACTCTTCCCTTTTCCCGCTTACCTACCCCACCACACGTCCTGTCGCTTTAGCACACCCTCACTCCACTTTCATGTTTCTCATCCCTCCCTCCTCCAGGCGCACGTCCCATCACCATGCCACGTGTGCTCTCCTTCACTCGTTTCCTCGCAACCCTGCCCTGTCACTTTATCATCCCCCTCCCTCTCCAACCCTAGTCTAAGCTATATATACCCCCCCTCCTCTGTCTCTATCTTTTTTCTATCTCTCTTTTCCCCCTCCTGTCATTCAGTCACTCTTCTGTAATTTTTCCTCCTCATCGAAGGCGCTTCCGGGTGAGGTGAGGAGAGAACCTGCAATAAAGCGGTAGCCTCTCGTGGATTCTCTTGGGAATGTGATTTGTTCACTTGTTTTGTATGAGTGATTTCGCATTCCTTGATTTGCATTCTCTTGTGAGACCCAATTTCCTTCTCATCTTCTTTGTGAGAGCTTCTATCAATGGCGGAAAGGAGATTGCGCGTCGGTTACGCCCTCGCATCCAAGAAGCAGAATAGCTTTATTCAGGACTCGCTGGTCACCCTCGCTAAATCTCGCGGCGTGGACCTCGTGCGGGTTGATACAGAGCGCTTGCTTTTGGATCAGGGTCCCTTCGACTGTGTCCTTCACAAATTGTACGGAGACGACTGGAAGAGGCAGTTGCGCGAGTACAAGGCGGAATACCCTAATGCGCTGATTCTCGACTCGCCCGAGGCGATTGAGAGACTCCATAACCGGATTTCCATGCTCCAGGTGGTGTCCGAGTTGACAATTGAGGACCGGGAGGAGACCTTCGGGATTCCCAAGCAGATTGTCATATACGACAGTGAAACTCTGTTTGATCGGCAGGCGTGGGAGACTTTGAAGTTTCCTGTGATTGCGAAGCCTTTGGTGGCGGACGGAAGCGCCAAGTCGCACAAAATGGCTCTGGTTTATAACCATGATAGCTTGAACAAGCTGAAGCCGCCGATTGTGTTGCAGGAGTTTGTGAACCATGGGGGAGTCATTTTTAAGGTGTATGTGGTGGGACAGTACGTTAAATGTGTCAAGAGGAAGTCCTTGCCGGATGTTTCAGAGGATAAGTTGGCGGTTTCAGGGGACTTGTTGTCTTTCTCTCAGGTCTCGAATTTGGCCACTAATGAGAGGATTGATGATATGTATTACAAGATGATGCGGTTGGACCACACTGCGATGCCCCCGCTGACCTTCATTACCGAGATAGCTCGAGGTTTGAGGCACTCATTGAAGCTGAACCTTTTTAATTTCGATGTGATTCGGGACTCTAGAAATGAGAATCGGTATCTCATCGTTGACATTAACTACTTCCCTGGGTATGCTAAGATGCCCGGTTACGAGACTGTGTTGACGGACTTTTTCTGTGATATAATGAACATGAAACAGAAGGAAGAGGTAGAGAGTCCGGATGAGATGGACAGCTCAGTGAACACTGGTATGGATAGTGTCCAGATGCGATGTAACGGGGATGATATGAGAAAAATATTAAGCAATACTTGTGGTGATGGGGATGACAGCAGCCTTCAAGTTTCAGCTCTTTGCAGGGAAGAGAATGAGAGTTCTCTTCAAGTCTGATAAATTGTGTCAAGGGACCTTCTATCATGATGACCAGTTGGTGATTTTGGGTAACCAGAATTTGCATAATGGACCTATGCACCCATTGGTTGATAGACATGAGTAGAACATTCGGTTTAAATAGCAGTTGGTACAGTGGTGAAATGAATAGCTTGTTTGTGCCTAGATTAACCTCTTAACATGTATATTCCATTAATCATTGCTGGAGATAGGTACTTCTCAAATACCTCTGAAGGTTTAGAAAAGTTGTATGTTGAGGCTTAAGTTCTTGTTAGAATCTATTTTCTTTTGTTCCTTTCGCAAGTAAACTTAATGGGTTTTATTTTCAGCTGGTCAATTCTATTCTCATTTTGGATTTCTTGCTTTGTTTGCATTAATTATGTCTGTAATTTCGTACAGTGATATAACTAATACATGCTTGAAGGGTCTCCCTGGGCTAAATTCTGATCAGAGAGTTCCTTAACTGGTAATATGATAGTAACTATGTCTTAAAGTTGATATAAACAAGAAATGGACTGATATACTCTGTTCGTTACCCCACAAGAGCCATTTGAATGGTGGAGGAGAATTCTTTAAGATGTGGTACAATATGGGGACAGATAGATATCAGGCCAAAAAAGAAGGAAAAAAAAAGACTGATAGATAATATGTTGCAATGTTCAGATTTAACTTCTATCAAACGAGAAGAAATTTAATTTTTATTCTGATTTAATGCATGAGTGCATGAAGATAACTAAGTTTCATAAGAATATTTGAAGGAACATAATTGAAAAGAGGATCAAGATATTCTTCTTTGATGGAACTTTTAGCATCAGTGAGCTCATGCACATTATTTTTGGATATTGCATGGCTTATTTCCTTAACCACAGGTCACAGTATGAAAGGTTTGTAAACTAAACTTTCAGTAGCTCATTAGATTACTCCAAATAGAAGAGTACATTTTCATTGAAAGCAGAGTTGAAAAGTGCAATCAGAGAAAACTTTCTTATGACGTGCAAAATTTAGTTTTTGACTCATGGGGATGTTTCGTGGGGAGTCTTGAATGCAAAGTATTTTTTGACTGCAGACTGGTCTGCGGACTTCCTGCATGTGTTTGCCTTGTGTATAACCTCTAATATCTGTGTATCTATCCCGTGTCATATCTTGGCTAAATATTTCAGGCCTTTATGGAAGTATTACATGGTAGTATGACATCTCTATGATGAGCAAAATCCGAGAAAAACATAATTGTGACAGGCCAAAAATATAATTTTTTCCTTTTCGGTTTTTCATGGGAGCCTTAATTGTAAACAATGCATGTGCACAATTATTTGATTGACTTGGAATCCAGGTGTAGATACCCTGCACATGCTAGCCTTATATGTAGCCTCTTAAATCTGTATATCTTTAGTTTGTCACCTCCTTAGATCACCATTCAAGATGTTTATAGAAGGTTGACATGGGGATATGACATCTCTAAAACAACCAGATTCTGACAAAACATAATAGCGACAAATTTCAAATGCTGCACATCTGCTGTTAAAAAGGAAGTTCCAAGACAAAGAATCTCAATCCTAGCATAAATTTATTCTCATTTGATATCATACTGTGTTTAGTCTATTTTGTGGCTCTTGTATCGTTATTGATGATGGTGTGTGAAGTGCATTGTTGCAGAAAAGGGTTTCTTGAGCCATGGCACCTGGTGTGCATGTTGCAACATTGAATGTGGAGTATCATGCATATATAATTATATAATCTAAAGTTCAAATGCAAGAGAAACCAACAACTGCTTATATGGAAGACTTAAGCAACTCATGAATTCCAAGTTCATCCAAAATCCTTATTTCTCATCATCTTACTGGATGAGCAGAAACGAAACTAAAATTTCCTTATCGCCCTCAACCTTAAGCGTTCAAGAAGTTTGAGTTTGAATATAAACTGGGTGGTGCTCCTGACTAACTTTGATTTAGAAAAACAAAGCTGAGTCATACTAGATGACAGAGTCATTGAAACCTGAGAAGAGCAGATAAGAATATAAATAACAGAGAGAGAGGGAGAGTAATAAGAGACAGAACATGGGGAACATAGCTGAATATGAAAGCTGGTATGCTGTTGCACTCCTCTTACTCACTTAATGTTGTTGCATAAAATAGCTTAGGGTTGCAGAGATTTGTTGCTGCTTTTTTCATGAAGTCAGTTTTTGAGCAACACTATTTGAAAAGTGCAAGTTCCTGTATAGTGAGATATATATAACTCTTGATTGATGGGTCTACTTGGTTACCTTTCGACCCCAGGGCCGTCTAACTGTAGGGGAACAAATGCATAAAGATGTGGTAACATACTTGGAAACTCATATTTTAATACCAAAATATGTATTTAGCTATTCCAAGGAAATGGAAGGTCAAATTTGGTTTCTGATTTAATGCATGCTCTTGCAAATTATCTTCTTGAGGTTTTTCTGTTAAGCAAGGAACTTAAGTTCGGGGACAAAGAAAGTTATGCCTTTCCAACAATCTTAGCATTGGTAACCTTGGTCACATTTTCTTTTCTAAGTGACAACACGGATCATTACATGTGCTGCAGTATGAAACTTTAGCAGTTTACTAGACTATGAATAGAACAGTGGATGGGTAATGGGGTGTGGACTTGTATTGGTAAATCTAAAAATAACAACGTAGAACATGCATGTAGTAGTCTACAGGTAATGTGGTTGTTTCTAGTAGCCAAATCTGCTTATGCACATTGGTTACTTTGACTTCTAACCCACTTCTTGTTGTGCTGTATTTGTTTGGCTTGCATGTAACTATTTTTGTATTTATATATGCTTTCTTGTGTCTCAGATCACCATTTTGCAGAGGCTTAACAGAGGCTGATGGCTCAGCTCTCCAAACTCTCCCTTATTCATAACCCATGAAGTCCTGCCTGGTATAACCTCATAGGAGAGGGAGTTGGCAAGCATGGAGAACGATTTTTGCGCAATATCTGTTATCACTTTCATTACAAATGTCATTTCCCGGGATCCCCCCAGCTAATCTATGTACCAAACATGGAGGGTGCTTTTAGTTTTACAGCCATTGTTCTAGGTAATAGTCACTGACTAACTCCCCACCTTAACATTTCACGCATTTAACAATCAATCACTTCTTTTATCTACATGCATCAATTCCATACTTTGCAGGAGTCTTACATGGTTCTAACATCTTTATCACCAACATTCCAAGTCGTGCGAAGTATTTACTGAAATCCTGTACCAGGATATGTTGAAAGCATTGCAGATATTCAATATTTGGTCTGTATGTTTTGCAGTTTCCATTTTTCTTTTTCTCCGCGGATTTTTCCGTATGCTAAGGTTCCTTTTGCTCATGTACCTGTTCTCCTTTTGAGAAGTAGATGATTGTGGGATGGCACTTTGGGCCATGCAAATGTGATTGAAAAAATTGTTCTATGATGTTTTTATCAATTTAATCTACTGTTTACAGTAGGTAATCTATCATAATGAATTTGTCTCAGAAAATTACTTGTTTCAACGGTTTTTCGTTCAGTTTGGTATTAATTCTTGTACTGCCTGATGGATGTATGCACTTGCGATCTGACGTTGTGATTGCTGCTTATGCTCATTTTTCTCTTGAATTGAGATTCACACGTCATACCTTTTCTATTTCTCTCTGTGGCTAGAGAGCCATTTGGTAACATTGTAAATGTGATTTTCCAATGTGGAATTTCATTAATTACTTTCAGTGCATGGTTATCAATTTTAGGCATGCCTTTGAAGCATGATATTTGGCTACTTGCCCCAATTTCATGTATCCATCATCTTGTTTTTCTTTTAAAAGAAGTGACTTGTGATGTTAAAAATAGGCTTGTAAATGCAAACTTCGAATCAATATTTTGGCTACTTGAGTCTGAACTTATAGCAAAGTGATTCTTCTGCTGCCTGTTAGATATTAGTTATTTCTCTAAAATTGTTCAGGGAGCCTGTTGGAGGGTCCTACCTCTTGTGAATAATATACCCATGTTCGAGAGATACCATAAGGTGAATGCTCATCGTAAGATAAGCATTCCCATCACCATCCTCTTCCATTCTCTTTTATCAGCAAGAAAAATCAAAGAAAGAGGTACTTTTACCCTCTGTTAGCAATGGGAAGAAAATGAAGAAGAAAGAAAACTAGAAAAAAGGTGGAAGAAGACACTCTCCCTTTCTATTATAAAATTTTCCCTTTAATTTTCTTCTTTTGTAAGAGAAAATTAGGAGAAAACAATGGTGATAAATATAATTGTTTTTTTTTTTAATTTCTTATTCCAAACGAAACCTCAGGATTTCAAGATATGCTGTAAAGTGTTGGATTGTACGGTGCATTCTTTTTTAGGCCCATTTTTGTTTTGGGCAAAGGATGATGAGCAGTTATAATGATCTGTCTCAAAAATAATTAAAGGATTAAAGAATACATACATTAAAATTGGGGGGAAACCTTAACATCTTAATAAAATTTAATAAAGACTCCGAGCAGGCATAGACGTAAACACTGAGACTCGACATGCTGAAATAAAACACCTGTTGCGTCCATGTCCCTTCCTTTTCCCCTTGGGTTAGGCGGCTGTGGACACTATTGACTCAAGTAATTGTGCCTTCTTCCAAATCCTACTTCTGTGGCTTTCAAATTTTTTTTTTTTGGTTTTTTGTTTTATAAATACGAGGAGTAAATTCTACTGATAACATATAATATCTTCTCTGAAATACTGAGAACGATGAACAGATATATTTTAACTGAATCGTTACATGTACAAGAACTGTAATTCAAATTCCCAATTACTTATTTAAGCAATGAGAGCTTTTACTGTTAATATTAATTTTAGTTGGTATTTGTGGCTTAAATGTTGATTACACTGTATTCAGATTGGTTCTTTATATAGAAAATGAATGTTTTACTTCTTTTCCTCCCTCTCCCTGGAATTAGACTTCTTTTGGCCGGTTGGAATTATACTTCACCTTGAGACTTTGGTAAATTAGTAGTGCTTTTGTTTTAAATTTATGAAATTTGATCTTTTCTTGAAGGAAAAGGGCTGCAGAACGACCTTTAAAAAGCATCACAATAAAACTCCAATAATTATGAAAATATATACGCTTCCTTTGATACTCTGCTTAGATTAAGAAAATTATACATAATAGAGTTTAAAAAAAAAAAACCTGAGGGGTGAGTTGAGTGAAGTTTGCTTGGTTTTATAGAATGGTATTTTCGAAAATAATTCATAAATGTTTCATTAAATCAAGCATTAAATACTTTCTGTAAGAAATGAATGACTAATGAATAGTAATAGTAGTAAGATTTGATGAATATGACTTGTTTTAGGCTGTATGCTTTGTTTGTTCGTATTAATTTTTTAGACATTTATTTTTAAGTAATTATAATTTGCCTCATCATGTGAGACCGCACAAGCCATTGTCCCAAAAACACCTACGCAATAGACGAGCCAATCATCCATAATATATCATTTGTATAGCACTGAGTTAGCATTATATTTTTGAAAAGAGTGTATAGAGTGTATTGCATTCAAGACAATGAAATGGGTATTATATATTAATAGGATCAGAGGGAGTGGTTTCCCCGCATGGAAATTCACTTGATGTTAATTTGATACAGTTTAAAATTTAATATCAAACCCTATGCAAGCTCAAATCTCTTACTCTCTTACAACTTGAGGTATATATGCTTTATTCCAAATGATCTTATGCTATGTTTGGATACATATGGATTTGGATTTGAATCAAATTCATTGTTTGGGTAATTAAAAATATATGAATTTAAATTTGACCCAAATCTAAATTCAAGTCTCATCTTAATATTTTTGTAATTTAAAATCCTTCTTAAATTTTTATTATTTCAAATCCTCACTCAATTTCTTTTGTAATTTGATCCAAATTTGTAAAGACTTGATCAGCTTGCTAACTATAATTGAACTGGACTGTAAAAATTAATGGAAACAAGCTATCACTATTGACTGAGATTGGAAGGTTAACTTCCACTGAGACTAAACCCACAGTGATAACTAGGATGGGACAATTGACTTCTACCAGGCTTAGACTAGATTGATGGAGATGGTGACAATTGGGACGATACGATTAGGATTGGATTGACGGCGATGGCAACAATAAGGACTAGACGACTTACTTCTATCGAGACTAAGCTAACAGCTATCATTGAGATAGGATGGCTGACTTTTGTTGGGACCGGACCGATGATGAAGAGGAGGACCGGACGATCGACTTTCACTAAAACTAAACAAAAATTAAACAGATGGCTATGATCAGGATTGGACGAATGACTTCCATTAGGTTCAATCTTGATAAAAGTTGGTTATCCGATCCTATAAAAGTCGATTGTCTTATCCCGGTGGTTGCTGTTGGTCAAGTCCCGATGGAAGTCGGCTGTCCGATCCTTGTGGTTGCTGTTGGTCCAATCCCTATGGTAGTTAGTTGTCTGGTCCCTATTATTGTTGTTGGTCCAGTCTTGATTGAAGTCAATTGTTTGGTCCCTATCGTTGCCATCGATCTAGTCTGGGGGAAGTCAGTGTTTTGGTCCCCATCATCGTGTCGCTCCTATCCCGGTGGAAGTCAATCCTCTTGTCCCGATCATCGATAATGCTATAATTCCAACAGGCTTTAACTGTTTGATCTCAATGAAAGTTAGCAATTTGGATCATCAACTTTAACTAGTTGTCCAAATTTCCTTTAAATTCAAATATAAAAATTAAAAATTAAAATTTTTCTTTATATCCAAACAAAGAATTTTAATATTATAAATTAAATTTTTTTATATCATCCAAATAAAAAATTTAGAATATATGAAATTCAAATGTAAAATTTTAAATATGAGATTTTAAATCTAAATTTTCAACTTAAATTCACTCATCCAAACACAATTTTAGTAAACAAACTAGTGAATTTTTTTAGTACAAGAGGATGGATAAACCATGCAACATGTCAAGATTCATAAGGTCACTGTACCTTGGTAGTGAATGATTGAAGAACATAGTATCTAAGTTGTGGGATGTATGTCTGGTAAGCAAGCAGATTGACACAGCTATTTTCTCATCTAAATACTTGGTTGAAAGCAATTGTCTAGTCTTTCATGATAAATTTTTTGATTTTCTTGATAATTTTTGAGAGGAGATGCCTGTCAAAGTAATTGTGTTGGATGAGTAACAAAGCTTTCATTGAATGAGAGTAGATGGTGATTTTAGTGAATTTACCACTCTAACAAAGATTAAAGCCTTCCAAAATATCCACAAGCCCCGCTACTGTATAGAGATGGTGCCTTGATAATTCACTTCCCTTTATCATTCCTTATGATATCTCCACAAGTAGCAACACCATTGCTGTTGATTGTTCATCATGAATTTTGAGTTTGATCCACTCTAATTCTTGAGAGCTTCATTTAGATCTAGCATTTCTTTTGATCAAGTGATTGATTATTGAAGTTTTGAGTCATTGATTATCAGTTGGTGGAAGAAAAGGCAATATCTCTATCTTGACCAACACCCGTGAATTTGGTCTTATTGCATTGAAAACGTCTATTATTTTTTATGAATTTTCCAATGGGAGTGTTTTAGCAGATAAAAAAGACATCGATGATTAGGCTTTTCTGAAGAAAAATTTCTCCTTAACTAAAACTAGCACACACCAACGTTCTGTTTCATTAGAGTTCACATTTGACAAGGTAACACTATTCTGCCTCTTTTCCCATCTCAGTCTCTTTATATACTATTAGATCATGTTAATTGTAGCAGAAATGGCATATACCGGCGAGTGTCACCTAAAAAGAAGCTGAAGAAATTCTTGGAATTCTGCATTCACCAAACCGATATATACTAGATACAAGTATGTGTCTCTTGAAATTAAACATCATCAAATCAAAGAAAACCTGCAATTGGTCCGTATGAACGCACATGTATATCTTCTGTTTTGTACACAAATTAAAGAAACAAATTTATTATAAGCCTCCTATATATATATATATATATATAATTTTGTAATGAATCTAAATTATCAAAACCGAAAAAAGAAAAAGAAAAAGAAAACATCTTGGATGAACAATTCTATGAATAGATCTTGTGTGTGTTCCCGCCATAATTTTATCTCCAGAAAAGGCAATTATTCAATATCTCTACCAAGAGACTGGCGACGCCAAAGTTGATGATAATCTGGAAGGTACAAGGCAACTAATCAAATTGTCTGCAAAATCACCAACGTTTGGAGAACAAAGCAAAAGAAAATGACAAATCGCAATGTACCAAAACACAAAGTCATACGTCATGCACCCACTTGATACAATTTTATTTAGACATGATTTTTCTTATAGGAAAAATTATCACTAGCCATTTTTTTTCAACAAAATTTAAACATATGACGACGGCAAAAAATAATTATTCCTAGTATCATATGTTTAATTGATATGAACAAACGCCAAAACAACTATCAACTAAGCTTTTGTCTTATCCTTTAAGGATTAAGAATGAATCGGAGTCATGTCAATAACTACTATAGATATCATATCCTCGCATAAACTAATAAAACTAATCCTTTGGCCATTTTCTCGTTTGTTTTTCCCTTATGTTCTGGTTATCCAAAAGGAAAGAGGATGAAAATAATTAGAACAGAACGTACTCAAGAATCTCCTTCCAGTCAGAACCAGTTATTTCATCAGCCAGGAGTTTCTCCCAACTCCCAAACATTGCAGAGGAATTAGCTGACTGATCAGTGGACCCTTGAGCAGTATTGCAGCTACCGTCAACTTGCTTGATGGCTGAGCCGATCACCGGAGACGCTGAGACTAGAGCAGGTATTGTCATTTCCAATGACTGGCTCTGATGTGGAATAGTATAAATGTTGCTACCATTATTAAAACCAAAACTTTCTAAACCACACACTCCTTGTACATCAGTCCACGGCTTTGAAATACCCTCTTGAGACTCATTGTGTGCTTGGGGAAATAATAGGCCATCTGGGTTTACATGTTCTTGACCTCCAGTAGTCCCATTCATAAGGGATTGCAGTTGAAGTGGGTTGAGGCTATGACTATTGCCTAAGAGGTAAGGGTTTGCATTAACAATTTGCAGCAGGTTTTGCAGAAGTTGGACTTTGGTTAACTGAGTAGTGAGATCTAATTGTGAAGCCAGAGGATTAATATTGTTAACCCAAGGACCCATATGGTTTGATGAGATTCCAAGCAAATGAGAGAGACTGATAAGGTGATTGAAGTCAGTTCTGGGTTTGTGAGTTTCTGGGTCAATGCCCATCTGAAGCAGCTTCTTCCTTATGTGGGTGTTCCAGTAGTTCTTTATTTCATTATCTGTTCTTCCTGGAAGATGGCCTGCAATCTTTGACCACCTACAACAACAACAACAACAAAATCAAAATGTGTCAATCAAATTCTCTTGTTTAATTGTTAGCTTTATAAATTCTCACGTACAGACATTTCATAACGAAACCGTATGACATCATATTTGGCAGGAAAAGAATTGAAACTTAAAAATCTTTAAGATATGAAAAATTGGAAGATTTCTGCAGAAAGAGTTAGCTGCTTATTCTCCCTTGATAACTCAGACGAGAAAGTTTTCAATATATAAAACCTGAATTTTTGTCCCTTTTTTATCCTTTATCCAAAGATACACATATCAAGCAAAGATATATAAACTTACTTGTTTCCGAGAACTGAATGAAGGTTGATGATGATTCGGTCTTCTTCTTCAGAAAATTTACCTCTCTTGATATCAGGCCTGAGATAATTAGCCCACCTTAGCCTGCAGCTCTTGCCACACCTATTGAGGCCAGCATGCTTTGGAAGTGTCCTCCAACTTCCATGGCCATGCTTGCTGATATATTCCACAAGCTTCTGATCTTCTTCTGGTGTCCATGGCCCTTTCTTCACTCCACTACTCTCCTCACAACATGGAGCCCTACCCATAATAAACTTATAATTATATAACTCCAACACGAAACAGCACAGATACGTATATATATATATATATATGACAGTTATATAGTCTATCTCTCTCTCTGTGGAGAAAATGTAAGTTAGAAAAGGCCTCAGCAGATAGTGCTAAGAGATGGTGGCTTTTATAGGTGCATGGTATGAACCACAGAAGAAACGAGTAGGCAAAGTGAAAGAAGCAACGTTTAGAGGGATTGATAATTATATTTTACTATAGTCAAGGGGATGAATTATTGTGGACAGATTATTAAAATAATAATGGTTATATGGAAAAGCAGAGGATTAGGTAGTGACAGTGTCGTTAAAGTAGAGGGTAAGTTCCGTGGAAGTTTCTTAAAGTTCATGCATTTGTACTATATGCATGCTTTCTACAAGTTTAGTTACAGTAAAATTATTAACGTGTCTTGATTTGACCCATTAATTGGTTCAACCATTTTAGATTTTCGATACCATCGAGACGCGAGAGGTTGTAATAAACTCAGCTTTTGATGAGGTAGCACCAGAAAATATATCGTAGCCGGCCATGAACGTATAGCTAGGGTTGGTGCGTGTGTGTCTATATATATATATATATATATATGCATACACACGACGTGGTCTTCAAGCATTGGACATAGCCGTGGCTAAATATTAAACGCCTCGATATTAAAATTAGTATACAATTTTATTTTCTATATTTAGAAACAATGTACTACCTGTGTGTCTGTGGGTACGTATTTAGAGCATCTTTCATTGATTAATTGCTACTATACTTGATTAAGATTTAGATAGTGAACCTATGGTTTCAGATTTGAACACAGTGAGTGACTTAACAGTTACTCAATAAGTATTTTATATGACAAGATAACAATGGTTTTGTTTAATCAAATGATTTTATCATATAATATTAAAGATAAAATGACATAAGTAACAAGTGTTCTAAACTTGTTGATTGTTTTGAATTTTTAGATGAAAATATGTCTTGACAATTTTTAAGTATTAATAAAATATAATGGCTATAATTGAGACATCATTCTCATTGAGTGGGTATATTTAGGACACACACTGAATTTAAATCTATAATTCTTGACTAGAATTTTCATGATGATAAGGTTATGTACTCTTCAATTAGCAAGTAGAGAAATAGTAGCACCATTTTGGGACATCATACTTATAAGTAGTCTTTTTCTACTATGATTAATGTTAGAATTAATTTATATTTAATATCATTTAAATATTATATTTTTATTGGATGGATTATGGATGACTTAGTATACCTGATTTATTTAAAAATTTCTCAAGTAGCAAGTAATAAGAATTAATGGCATATTGTGTATATAAAAAAAGAATTAAGGACATATTACAGCCGCCAAGGACACGGCTATTTTTCTTTTTAGGAACTGCAAATTTCAGCCTTCAAATTTGCAAACACTATAATCATTAATAAATACACTCCCTTAATTTGTCCCATTTTATAGGACATTTTATGTGATTTGATATCTCAAAATACAAGATTTTTTTAAAAAAAGATTTCATTAATAATGATTAATATAATACTTCTTCCATTTTAAATTATAAGATACTTTTAAATAGAATCTCACATACCAATAAACCTTATTAAATATACTTAACAACCTTATCTTTTCAAACCAAAAACATAAACTTTTAAAAATACTCATTATTTAATATATTTAAAAGAGAAGATAAGAAAATTAATTATAGAGAAAGAAAGGATAATATTAAAATTAGTGAATTTAATAAAATCTTAATCTACTCAAAGTATCTTATATTTTAGAATGAAGAAACTCCTTCAAAACTGCCCTATAATTTAGAACGGAGGGAGTATTATTTCTTGTTATTTTACTCCTTAAATAAACTTCCTTTCCTCTCTCTAATTAATGAAGGTGATTTTTAGAAATTTATAAAAAAATTTAGGATTGTATGTAAAATGTAGTTAGTGAACTTAATTACTCCAATCCTTGTTATAAGATGTATTATAAAAGAATTTTTTAGTCTTTAATATAAGACGCTTGATGGCATATTGATTACATTATTTTTAATATTACCCCTATTTAAATTTATAAAAAAATATAATTATTGATCCTTATAGTTTCATTTAGGTTTGCTTTTAATTATTATACTAAAAACATTAAGAATTAAAAGAAAAACTCAATAAAGCTATAGGGATAAATAATTATGTTTTCCTTAAATTTACTAACTATAAGAAAAAATGCAATGTAAATTTAAAAAATTTTCATTTAAATACGGGTAAGATTTTTGTTTTTGTTTGATCGAGAAAGAGGAGGACATAATATTAATGAAATAAAGTAGTACAAGTCAAAGCCATGAGCTATAGGCAGGCATACAGTAATCACATCAAAAGGCAAATTCAACTAACCACTTCCCTATCATGATCAATAGTAGAAATGTGCATCTCAGTATGAATAGCACTAGAGTCTCTAAGGAGGATTAAGGAGAGAGAGGGTAAAGGTTTTATGACCCAGCCAAATGGTTCCATCCTCTTTGAAGCAGTGGTTACAAGGTAGCCTGCAACAAACCCTAAGTGCTTCATCAGGGAAAAGGCTAGGGAGGGAAGAGACTTAGTGCTATTCAAAAGATCAGCCATTAAACCATGGCAGTTAAAGAACATCACTAGTTAGTATGAATAAGTATGGGGAAAGTGGGGTCCTCTTGTCTCACACTTCTTTTGGATTTAAGGTGGGAGATAGTTTTACTAGCAATTTGAATGTTAAAATTCATACATTTCACACAGATCGTAATCCATTTCATCTGTAGATCACAAAAGCCTAGCTTTCTTATGACTTCTCGAACAAAATTCCACTCCAACCTATCAAAAGCCTTGTTCATATCCATTTTCAGAGCAAAATTGTAATCATCACTAGATTTTTTCCTTTTCAAGAAGTAAAACTCCTTATGATGAACTAGAAAGATATTATCTTTATATCTTGTATAAAACGATTTGGGATAAAAGCACTCCGTTGGGGTAAATGCAAACAAAAAGGACAGATCCAAATCTATTGGCAAGTATCTTTGAAATAACCTTACAGGCAAAATTACTAAGGCTAATAGGTCAAAATTGAGTAATTGACTCTGGCCTATCCACTTTTGGGATTAGAATGAGATTAGTTTCATTCAACTTATTTAGAAAGTATCACCAAACATATAATCATTGACAAATGAATAAAGGGAAGAGTTTACCTTAGTCCAAGAGCTTTGATAAAAGTAGCCATTAAAACTATAAGGTCCAAAGGCTTTATAGCACCAAGCTAGAAAGTTGCTTATTTAATTTCTTCAACAGTAGCAGGAAAGTAAGCCATTAGTTTTGAGAGTCTGAGATACAGGGGTTAACATAACTTAAAGCTAGGTGCATATTAGAAATGTTCCTTGTTGCAAATAAATCTTCATATAAATGAGTAGTCAATGCAACAACTTCCTGTTTAGATTCAGACTAAGAACCATCAAATTTTTTTGGTCTCACAATTTGGTTTGGTTGCCTTATTTGTGGAATGGAAAAGATATGACTTCATATCCCCTAAGGTCAACCAAGGTGCATGTGAATGTTGCCACCAATAAGATTCTTTATAGTGTCAAAGATGTTTAAGTTCTCTTACTAAACAATGCACACCTTCTCTACTTTTACTAAAGTGATTGCATTTGATCAATTCAATTTCTCTCAGAGTATGATCAATAGCTTTCTTAAAATTTGAAAAGTTTTTTTTTCTTGCTCCAGGTAGTAAGAGCATTACTACAGTAATGAGTACAAGAGATGAATTGGGAGATGATAGCATTAGTAGTGAAACCATTGAGATACCAGGTATTTCTTACAACATTGACGAATGTAGGATATTAGGTCTATACAATTTCATACTTGAATTGACGTAGGGTTTTGGAATCATTGTAGTAGAAATGAACCAGAAGGAAATGCTTATTTAAAGATACATAATCAATATGTAAAGAGAGTGCTTTTAGGAAGGCATCTCTGAAGGCACTATTAACCATAGCTTTATCAATTCTTTCTTTAATCTGAACCTCTTCAAGTCTTTGATTACACCAAGTAAAGGAAGACCCTTTTGATTCCATATCAAATAAGTCACAAACAGCAGTGAACTTTTGCAAGTTAAGAATTCTTTGAATTAGGCTAGGCCTTCCACTGGATTTTTCAGAGATAGAGAGGAGATCGTTAAAATCTCCAACCAAAACCAAAAAGTAGTTAAACTACTTGCCATTCTTGTAAGTTTATGCTAAAACATCTTTCTTTCAACTTCAATTGAGAGGTATAAATAAAGGATATGAACTCTATACAATCCCAAACAAAGGAAGTAATTGTCCTGCATGTATAATATTTTCAATAGCTAAGAGCAAATCAACAGTAACAAAGTCTTTCCACCACATACTTAGAATGTGAGAAACACTACTGCCAAAAAAGGGTTTAGTGGTGTTTAAAACTTCAATTTCATGACATTTATAACACATTATAAGTGTTAAAACTATATAAAAACTCATGTGGTGTTTCATTCATTAATGAAACACTATAAAAAGTTGTCAATACCTTTGATACCTTGCTTTTAAATAAACAAGGGAAGAGAGGTGGCTTTCTGTTTTCCTGAAGAAACACTACCTCTCCTCCCTCTTTGAAGAAACCATATTGAGTCTTGATATGGTCGAGATAAATTGCTTGCGTCTCAGTCTCCATAAAGAACACCACTACTGGCTTATTCTTGTAAAACAAGTCCTTGAGATTTGAAGTTTATTTTATTTTTAGACAAAATTAAGGACTTAAACATATCTCCTTGTTTCTGGTGAGGCAATTAAAGAAAACACCTAATAATGACAGGGGAGGGAGTATATTTGAAGCATAAATAGTTTTGTTATCAAGTTTGCCATTTTTTGTTGGCTAAGGTATATTTTTAGTCTTCTAACTTTATATATGATTTTAATTTGATCATTTAATTTTGTAAAATATTTTTTTTGTCTTTTAACTCTAATATCATTAGTTTTAAATTATTATTTTTTGTGTCAATTGTAACATCCTGATTTTTATATAATAAAGAAATTGTGGAATTTAGG